ATAACTCGAGCCTGGGGGGGGAACCACGGGGGGGGGGGGGGGGGGGTCGGAACTCGTGGTGGGGTGTGGGTGTGGCAAGCGATAGATTGGAGCATCATGGTTAGGCGGGACGTGGTTGGTTGTCGTCTTTCGTAAACTGCAACGACAAGCGCAAGGTGGGGCAGCTCTCAGGGATTTCGTCGGCAAAGTTGAGAAAGCCATATGGATTTCAAAACCGTCGTCCATGCCCCCCCCCACCCCCACCGTGTTTGTCGAATTGCCACACCAGATAATCGCTGCTTGTATGAGCTGCGCTGGGCGATATCACCACCCAACTCGGAATTTTTTATTTTTCCGTCCCATATTTTCTGAGCGTCTGTCTCCACCTTCCATATGGAAATATTCTATTACAGTAGGTGCTTTCCCTGTAGTATGACCGCAAGAGCGAGGCCGGTAGAATCGCGTTACCCAGATGCAAGATTCACGTTGTCTCATGCTCTGAATAGCGCCCCGGGTGCCCGGTATAAATAAAACGCCCAAATAATCCCGTGGTTCACGGACCAATTGCCTTACCCCGAACACTGTTACCCAGATGCAAGATTCACGTTGTCTCATGCTCTGAATAGCGCCCCGGGTGCCTGGTATAAATAAAACGCCCAAATAATCCCGTGGTTCACGGACCAATTGCCTTACCCCGAACACTGTTCTTCGTTGTTGTTGCGCTGTATTTTTCCCGCTCAGTTGAAGAGTTTGCTCATGGCGAAAGGTCTAGCCCAGAGTAAAAAGAGTAGAGTTGGTTACGTCGATGTTCACAACACCGTTGGTGCTCCTTGTCGTGAGGCAGATTGATGAGATGTTCCTGTGTACAGCATTTGCTTTTTTGTCCAAACGAAGTGGAAGCAACCTACAGAACGAACCTTTTCGTTTTTGAAGGGAATAGCAGCGCTCAGTTGCATGTAGGAGGCCCCCGGTACACGATGACCAAGAGCTGCTGTTGCTGCTGCCGTCTCTCTGTCCGTCGTTCGTCCTGCAATACGTCACCACCAGGTACTTGGCCATGTTCGTAGCCTTCATGTACTTCGGAGTACGTGTGTGCGTCGGCGTGGCGGCGCCCAACAAGAGGTGAGGGTGTGATGATTATGCTGGCCGGTCATGCCGTCGGTAGAAAGAGCAGTTCAGAGAACGGTGCTTTCGCGAAGTTTTGAGGAGTTGGCGCCTTCCTGTGACAGACAACATATCATAGCACTATTTTTTTTCGATCGGCGTATCCACATGAACCTTTTGACGCTTGCAGAGCGTATCGGGGTTCATGATGGGACAAAAGATTTGTTCTGTTTACGCTGGTCGTGCTCATTTATTTTGTCCTTTTGGTATATTGGTATATCAAACGTTGTCTTGTTTTTCACGTGCTGTCCGCACCACCACCACTGCCACGACGGAAGGTTGAAGGTTGAAGGTTGAATGTACATGTGCGTTCATCCCATTTAGTCTGGCGCCAATCTGACCACCTCTCGGTGTCCTTCAAGTATGTGTTTGATGCATCAACCGGGGTCACACAGAAGGAAGGTCACACAGGACTTTTTATCTTAAGGGCATACCCTCAATTATTTCATTATTCTGTAGTGATTGTTATTGTTCGTCTTGACCCCTTGTCTGTGTCCGTGTGTCGCGTTGATCCTGCACTCGCTTCTTTCTCCGCCCATCCCTATTTCGCTGGTGCAGACTGTTACATCGCGTGTTGGTACTCACGGCCGTCTGCGGATTGGCCATGTGTTCGAAGGGGGCTTTGTTGGTCGCAGCGGCGCTTAACAACAGCGACACGAGCGCGCTGTTCCCACCCAGTCTGGGAAGGTGGGTCATGAAGGGTGGCGGTGCAAGCAGCAGTGACGATAGGTTCACTTCTCGAAGGCTTGGCATTCTATTCGCTCTTGTATCCATTCCGTCTAGTCTGGGCACGTTGGGGAATGTGTGTGTATCCTGTTCGTGCATGTTTCGGGCGTGCGAGCCGGGGCCACGCACACTGGAATTCCTCTAACTTTTGTTCGGAAGAGAGAGAGAGAGGTTCGACAACCCCTTCCGTTGTTGACACTTCCTGCTGGACTCGGGGGACAGGAATCGAAGTCTAGAATTGCTGCATTTTATGCGTACTTTTTGGTGCCGCCATTGTGCGCGTTTCTTGAATTACCTTCGGCCTTGACGCCATTTTTGGGATCGTCAGTCGTGAAGGGACAGGCGCGCGCAAACAAAGGCCGGTGTGATGTTCTCCTGTTGTCTTAATATTAAAGGAATTCTACCGTGGGCGAGAGTGCATCGCTCTGGTTGCAAACCCCCCAGAGGTTTAAAACGGTTCATGAATACATCGTTTTGGAAAACTCGCAGATACCGCTTGGAGGCGTTGATGGCACTGGAGGAATTGGTACCATCCATCGCCATCGCGTACCTGACGGCTAGGGGAAAGGGTCGCCGGTATCGTGCCCAGGTGCTTCCTTCGGAGAGAACAGGTTTAGCGGTGAGTTAGTTGCTGCCGTAGAGACTTTTGTTTCTCATGCACATGCGCATGGGTAGCTGGCCTGTGGCCACGGAAGGCGCCCGTCCTCGTAAGTTGGGCCGGTACGGATGGGATGTTAAATGGTGCTGAGCAAAGTGACCGGGACGGTTTTTGATGTGAAGGCAACAACTACATTGTAAGCTAGTAGTGAAGCTTTTGGACTCATGTGTATGGGGCACACGGCTTGCTTCTACTACCGTCCAGGCTTGCTTGCCTTCGACAGCTGCTGCGAAACTTTGATCCTGGGTCACCGCGGGAGGGCTCGCATGCCATGCAGGTTGTTTTCGATTTTGTGGCGAGGCGGCCCCAGCAGTTGTCGCCACTTTGGGTGGTGGTGTGGTACCTCAATCTTGTAGCCAAGCGAGAGCCGCCTCTCTCGCGGCCTTAAGCATGGGTGGGTGTGCTACAAGCTAGGTCGCTTGTGGCTCGATGGAAGACAGGGGAACAAGTAGGGCCGAGAAAGTTGTGTAGTATAGAAGCCGTGTATCATGCGACATACACTGGACCCTATCCTCAGCCCTTACCGCGGCCGACATGGAGAGGTGGGAGGATTGGCATTCCATTGTATTATTTTTTGACGCTGACTCCTTGTCCTTCCTTGCCCTTTTCCTTATTACCACATCCCTCTCCTCATCCATGGTTATCGTTCCCGCCCTATTTTGTTCGTGTCCATTCGATATATCATTGTCGTTACCACTGACTCAGCAGCACCATTCTCGTCAGTTCTGCCTCCCAAGCTTTTTGTGGCCATTGACGTTCCTTACCTTGTACCCCCGTCCCGTCACGTCCCGTCCCGTCCCGTCCCAATTCTGGGCGGCCTGCCTACCGAACCGAAAAAAAAACAGCGGTGTGACAGCCTCGACTACAGCAGCATCAACTTCACCTACGGCGGGATGGTTCCCTCCGGTACCTCGGGGACTCGCGTCGTTCCCTATTCTCCACTCTTGTACGGGCCGTCGTCCATCGACGAACCATAGCCGAAGCCTTGCCGGCTCTCATTGCTTAGCTGTTTACGTCCGTTGACTCTTGCAAGGCCGGCAAATGTGGTGGTGCGGCCACCGGGGTTTATCCTCGGCCGTTACGTACGAGGTGACCGTTGATCGCCAACGGTGTTGCAGTGGATAAATAGCCGTTGGAAGCGTGTCCATCTTTTTGGCGGGTTGTCTGTTACGTAGCGCGTGTTTTTCCGAGCACCCCCCCCCCCCCCCCCCCCCCCCTTTTTTTTCCCTCCCCCCCTGGGGTTTTTCCGAACCGGTCCCATTTTCCCCCCCCGCCCCCGTCCCCCCCCCCAGTGATTATTTTAGTGTATGGGCCCCCAATGGTCCACAAAAAGGTTTTTCAAATTATGTTTTTTTTTAAGAACCCAAAACCAAACCATCCATCCTCCACGTGGGGGGGTTAACACT